GTCCCAGAGTCCCGTGGGCCCTCGAGTTCGGGGCGCCCCGTCCCTGCCGGGGCACCCAGAAGCGGGAAGACAGCCCCAGGCGTCCCGCCTTCCTTCCCCAGGAAACGCTCGCCCTGCACGGCGCTTCCTCGTCCCTCGCTTCGTTCCCCTGCTCCTCCGTCCTTTGGTCCGTCTTTCTGTCTGTGCTTCTATCTTTGTCTCATCCTCTCGGACTAGATCGCTCCCTGTCCGGATTTTGGGGCCCAGGCCCCGGGGGCTGCCTGCTTGCAGGGTCTGTCTCCTCTGGGGGTTCGGTCCCTGGCGCCCCTGTAAGAGGCTCGTGGTCTTGACAGGTCTGGGCCTCAGCCCCCATCTGGGTCCCTGCTCCCCTCCCTCTCGGCCCCCACAGGACCCCAGTCCCCACCCTGGCACCAGCAGCAGGTCAGCCCTGGGGAGGTGAGGGGCAGAGGGCCGTGCTCAGCCTCTGTGGCCAGGACTTGGGTCCTGGAACGAGTTGCTGCCCTTCTTCAGGCTCAGACCCCCTCTCCCAGCTCCCCGGGTTGCGTGACTGCGTGAGCCGGTGCGGGGCAGGGGTCTGGGAGGGCAGCTGGCACGTGACGGGTGCAGAGGGGAGAGGGAGGGCCGGGTCTTGGAGGGTTGGGCCGGGGGGACAGGACCCTGACTGAGGGTGGGGAGGCCGGAGACATGACTTTCTGCTGGGCTCTGAGCTGGAGAGGAAGCGGAGGCAAAGTCTCAGCTTCAGCGCCGAGCTCAGGTGGGAAAGCCTCGCCCTGAGCACGGCTGTGAGAGTCGGACCAGACGAGCCGTCCCCACCCGACGGACACAGGCACCCTCACATCTACACCCCCTGCTGCCTTAGGACCGGGGGCCACTTGGGCGTCCCTCCCTGGGGCCTCCTGGCTGCCCAACTGCAGTGCCCGGGGTCTCTCTTACTCCCCCAGGGAGGGAGCTCGGGGTGGCTTTTGCAGAACCAGAGGCTCCGGTAGGACCCTTGGGGCTCACCTGGGCGCCAGCCGCCCTAGGAGCTGGAGACGAACACCCTTTTCCCGGGCGGGCTCGCAGCCAGCAGGGCCCCGCCAGGAAAGCCATGCCTCGGGGTGGCACTGGGCCCGTCTGTAAGTGGCATCTGGTCTCTGCTGTGAAGTTGTTGACCTTGGGGTCCTGGGAGGTTTGTGAGGGTCCGGGACGCTCTTCGATTTGCAGTGAGATGGGTGTTGGCTGGGGTCTCCTGTGCCGTCTCCCGCCCTCTCTGCTGAGTCTGGAATAGACACAGGGCCCACCTCCAGCCCCAGCTCAGGGCAGGGCTGAGAGACAGGCCAGGGGTGTCCGGGTGCTCCTAGCCTCGTCAGTGACATCACCCCTCCCTGGCTCCTGAGTGCCTGGGAAGCAGTTGGGGGGAGGCCGAATCAGAAGGGGTAGCCGCTCTCAGATTCTGCTTCTCTCTGTCTGTCTGTCTGTCTGTCTCTCTCTGCAGGAGCCGGGCCCCTTCTCGTCTTGCTTCCTATCTGTCCGCTCCTGCTCCTCCTCTCCCCCTCAAAACCTGCCTTTGCTGCTTCTGCCCTCACCCCCTGGAGGCTCAGGTCTGTGGGGCCCACCCACCCGCTCTGGGGCCATGGGAGCACTGCTGGGACTCCTGGCGCTGCTGCTGTGGGGCGCTGGGGCCGAGGGCCGGCCAAGAAAGGTGCTGACGCTGGAGGGGGACCTGGGGCTGGGGGGGCTGT